ATTCTGTGTGTGGTCGTCTCGTTTTTTCTCTACAGTGTTTGTTTTCGATGATTGTTTTTTCTTAATTGGACAAGCACTTACTGCCTGTTTTAATTCATTAAACAGCCCTACTTAGACGTGATCTTCCTTGAGAAGTTCTTGGAACTTGCAGGTGTGTTTGCTGACTTCAGTTGGTATCCACGCTCGAATGGACGAAGGCAGGGAACTAGCAGCCAGCGCCCTGGAGGGGAGTCAGGAGGCCTGAGTTCTTGTCTTGCTATAGTGGCTTCGTAGAGGCAAAAGCGAATCATTTCAGCTCTCCAAACCTCAGTGTCCTGGTGTATAAAAAAGGGAATATTGGGGACCTCCCCGGTGGAGCAGCGGTTGAGCGCTGGGCTGCGAAGCTGCCCGCAGCCTCTGCAGTGCGGGTTTGATACCCGGCTGCCAGGGGAGGGTCCCACGTGGCGCGCAGACCTCTCCTGCCGCCCGCTGCTCCCCTCAGCAGTGTGCTTCGGTCCTTCTGCCTGCTCTGGCTCTGGTGAATTCTCTCACCCTCCCGCGCTTCTGACTGTACCCGGTGCTTGTATAAATAAATAAATAATTTTTTTTTTTAAAGGGGGATACTGGATTGTTACTAGTACCAAAACCTTTTTGAGACTGTGTGCTCTGTCATTGGGAGGTGACTTCTTTGACACCCTGAGCTGCTCCCAGGGCTTTGGTGGCACTCTGGTGACTTGAAGGAGTCAGTGTCTCTCATGCAAAGTCTCAGAATCCTGGACTGGTGGGGGTCCACCAGTGGGAGGACAGTGGAAATTGTCTGACTCTTTTATTATTATTATTATTTTAAAGATTTATTTATGCATACAAGAGCTGGGGGGCAGGACAGAGATGGGGGGAGGTGAGAGGATTCACCAGAAACAGTGGGGAGCAGAACAGCCAGACTGACTGAAATACACTGCTGAGGGGAGTAGCAGGTGAGACAGGAGAAGTCTGCTGTGCCATGTGGGTAGCTCCCTGGCCAGCCTGGGATTGAACTCGTGCTGCAGAGGCTGCGGATTTCTTCATAGTGCGGTGCTTAACCTTTGCGTCACCAGGGAGGCCCTCTTTTTATTATTTTTTAAAATATTAGGCAGCTGACACCAAAGAGTTGACGTGACATTGCCACGTTGGTAGAATAAGTCAGAGGCAAATCCAACCTCTACTCATCTGCTTCTGGGCCTGAGTGCTTTCATGCCTGAAATCTCCGTGCTTACTAGAGGGCCAAATCACAGGGCTAACGCCAGAAACTAACTTACAAGCTGTCATGCCAGTGTGTTTAGGAAGTTTGTAGATTGCTAACTTAAAAAAAAAAAAAAGAATATCCAGAAGGCACAATAAGAGGTCAAAGCGGTGTTAACTCTGCAATGAGGGGAGAATTCCCTTCTGTCTTTCCCCTTCTCCATCCCAGCTTTCTCTCACCAGGTGGACAAGATTGTGGACCAGCTGCAGCAGTTAATGCAGGTGTATGACTTGGCTGCCCTTCGGGATTATTGGAGCTACTTAGAGCGGCGGCTCTTCAGCCGCTTGGAGGATATATATAGACCACATCAACAAACTGAAAACCAGCTTGTTCCGCTTTTATCTCGTCTACACAATCCAGGTGCTTGTTGGCCCAGGGTCTGCTTTCTCAGTGGAGAGAGTTCTTTGCTCTAGAAATAGATTTCTTTTTAACCCCTAAGGAGGACCCTGTGTTACTCTGGAAAAGGGTGTAACAGTCACAGTGCAAGTTCGTGTTGACTCTTTTCCTACATTTTTTTCCTTTCATCTCTAGATCATCTGACTTGTCTTCCTCATTCCTATTTCCTCTCGTTTTAAGAACATAAGCCTGGGTAGTGTTTCAGAGAACATAAGACGCTGATTAAGGTTTGAGTAATAAATTTGATAGCTAAACTGGGAGTATAAAGCACTTAGATGATTTGAAAATCAACTGGGAATTAATTTTTAGGAGGGCATTTCTCATCAGGACTTCAATTTAAAGTAGCTTTGAAGTTGTAAGGAAACTTGAGAAAGAGTGGTTTCCTTTGTTTTATGGAGTTTGTAGCCATTCAAAGCCTCTACAGTGCAGTGACAAGAATCTTCCCTCTAGACTTCTGTCTTTTCCTCCTTGCTTGGCAGACAAACAGAAACGACAAGGCTCAGGAGTTCTTTGCAAAGCAGGCCACGGAGCTCCAGAACCAGGCTGAATGGAAGGATTGGTTTGCCTTGCCCTTCTTGCCATCCCCAGACACCAACCCCACCTTTGCTACCTACTTTTCTCGACAGTGGGCTGACACCTTCATTGTGTCCCTGCACAACTTCCTGAGCGTCCTATTTCAGTGTATGCATATCCTTTTTGCTGCCTGGAGCTGTAGGCCCAATCTGAAGCCACCAGTGTGATCAGTGGTGGCTGCCCTGATGGGGATGCAGCCATTTCGTCTACAAAATCCCCTGGGACTGTTGTCATGTATCATGTGAAGGGGCTGGAAAGATTCTGGTTATTTTTGTCACTGGGCCAGGGAATCATAAATCTCGGCTCTGATGCTCAATGCTGAAGTAATAGCTGAATGCCTGGGCAGAGACTATAGTAGAGGTGGGGTGCTAGTGCCATTTTTGAGAGGAGCCCTCAAATAGGGTGAAGGGCTTCTCTCAGCAAATACAGGGGTTGAAAGGCAGCTGCTGCTTAGTGCAGCCTGCCAGCCTTGGGAAGCACCGTCTCTGCAGGCTCTGTTTCCTGGATAGCACTTGCCTTTGTTGGGTAGAGGTGGTAAATGAGGACACATCCCAGGCTGGAACCTTCTGCGTGTGACAATGTTTGGGTGGCTTTCTCTGGCAGTGATGTCAGTTTTTCTCAATTTGCCAGGAAACAGCAGCTTTAAGAACACACAGGTGGATATTTGAGAGAGAAAGAATGTAAATCTACTATTTTCTCACAGAAAGCCTACCATCCCAGGCTGGGCCATCCTCCGCTGCTCATGCTCTCCAGACCTGCATTCTCAGGGAGAAGGGAGTTCTGTTGGAAGGGGGCTGCCTGGTGAGGCATTGATAATGTGGGCCTGCTAGAGCCCCACCCACCGGCCCTTTTGGCCTCCGGGAGGAGCAGCTTCTAGTGGAGGCAAGAAGGGTGCCCTTTCCTTTCGCTCTTCATCCTGAGTGCTCTCAAAGGAAACTAGCCAGGGGTTCAGCCCAGAGGTGCTTAGGACATGTGGGCCCTCTAGGGAGCTGAGAAATGTCGCTTAAGATCTGTTCAGTGCCTGACAGTGCCCCTCAAACTAGGACCAGCACATTGGAGCTCCAGTTCTTTCCTCAGTGCCCAGGCCCTCCCTGCTTTGTGTTCCTCCTGACAAAAGCTGTTTGAGGTGATTGGGGAAGACTGATACTCTAACCTTGAAGGTGGATTGCTTCTCCATCATGCAGTCTGCAGAAACCTCTCTGCAGTCTAAACCTTTCCATCTGCAGAGGGCAAAGCGGCATGGCCGGCGTGTCTGTGCAGCTGGTAGAGCAGTTGGCAGTGCATTTACGGAGCCACTGGCCTCTGTGCTGAGTTTGCTGAATGTAGCTCTCACTTAAAGAGCCCACAGCACCCAGCCTGTCCTCCACTCCCTGTGACTCACATTCAAGGGCTGTGCTAGTGTGTCAAGAGTTTGAGAAGGGCTTTAATGGTTTCGCAAGCAGGCTTATTCTTTAACTTGGTGTACCAGTTCCCGTGATCCTGAACTTCGACGCGGAGTGCCAGCGGACCAACCAGGTCCAAGAAGAAAATGAGGTTCTGCGCCAGAAGGTTGGTTCTGAACACACTTGCTCCTCCTTGGGAAGGACTTCTGCTTTTTGTGTATGAAATTAGGTAGTGGCAGCAGGGGGCTGATTAATATAGGAAAGCAGTGATCTCAGATGAAAGTGAGTCACCAGAAAGCCGGTGTCGGGAAGGACTTGGGGGCTGCATGATCTCTGGAAACCAGAGGCACAGTTTGAATGTCAAGCTGTGCACGGCGAGCGACATCGAGCAGTGATGAACTTGTAAGAGGAGAAAGACTATCCATGCGCCGTGTCGCTGCCCCAGGCCTTTTCCACACGTCTCGTCGTCTGTGTTGCGGGTTTAATTCTGCTCAGTTCAGTGTTTCTCTCGTTCAGTAAATGATAGCCAGGGAACCATGTTTCCCTTTGCTTTTTGCCTGAGGAGCATTTCTCTGCCCTAGAAATGAAGAGATCTGTAGATTACATGTTCAGCACAAGGAAGAGTAAAAGCTCTTTTGGCTTGGGAGTTTCAGATTCTTGGGTTTTGTTCAGGCAAAAGGTTAAAATTCTGAACTTCAGTTTTTTTCCAGGAGTTCCCAAGCCCTTGTAAAGCAGGATGGGGTGGGACTCTTTCTCCGTGAATTCGGGAAGAAGTCAGTCAAATGATAAAAAGGAAGCAAGTCAAATGATTTAAAAAAAAAAAAAAATGGCTTTTGTATTTCTGATGGTTTTTGGTTTCACACATTAAGTTCAAGTCACGGCGACCACTTGCCCATTATTCCCATCTGATCTAACTCTCTCTGGGCAGAGTGAGAAGAGCATGCTGAGGTGGAGGGCCAGGGGTCTTTTGAGCCAGAGAAGGGCTTTGCGTGTGTCCAATCTTCCCCAGTGGAAGGAAGATAAGGTGAGATCACAGTCTAACTCGGCCCCACCCTCTTATGTAGCTTTTTGCATTGCAAGCCGAAATCCACCGACTAAAGAAAGAGGAGCAACAGCCAGAAGAGGAAGAGGCCTTGGTCCAACACAAATTGCCTCCGTATGTCTCCAACATGGACCGTTTTGGGGACTCGGAACTGTGAGTGTGCCCTGCATTGTGTGGCCGGGACGACCAAGCTCCCTGCTCTCCTCTGTCCCCTGAGCTCCCATCTAGGGGCATCTCGCTGTGCCCTCTGCACCTGGTGATGCAGAATTGCCAGATCCTGGCACTCGCTGCCCTTGCTTCTGAGCTCTGTGAGTACGGGCCCCTGGCCTGGAACATCCTCTAGAAGTTCCCCCCCAGTGCCCGGCCTTCGAGCCTGCCCAGAGGGAGGGAGAGCTGCACCACTCTGCCAGGGCCTGCATGTCCAAGATGTGCACAACCTGAATAAACCAACAGCTGCTGTTGTGCAGCCGTGGGTGGTTTTTGAACTTTGAAGGGCGCACCTCCTGGATGAAAGGATTGGCCGCTGCAGGTTGGATGTGTTCAGCCACAGAAACACACTCCAGCGTGAGGGTTTGTGGAAGCAAGCAGAATGGGGAGTTATTTGAGTGACCTTCAAAATAGCCAGTTCAAGCAGAAAACCCAGGTGCTAATGGGAACAGTAGCAGTTGAAGGAACAGAGCCAGCGACAAGTTGTGGTGGATGATCAGGTTGTCAGGATGCAGACCCAGTGGTGAGATTCCACACCTGCACGCAGCCAGAGGCTGTGTCTGCGGAAGCTGTTCTGGCATCTGAGCTTGTGACATCCACTGGGGTTTTTGTTCAGGCAAAAGGCACAACCATGATTGTAATTTAAAGATTTTTAATAACTATATTAGAAAAAAGTAAAAGGAAAGAAAAAACTTAATGATATATTTTATTTGGCCTGATATATCCCAAATGTCCTCTCAACATGTAAGGAATAGAAACAAAGTATTAACGGGACAGTTATACTTTTTCATGCTAATGCTTGAATTCCCGTGTGTATTTTCCTCATCCACACATCTGGATTTGGACTGATCCCATTTCAGCGCTCATCACCATGGGTTGCTAGTGGCCAGTGCCCAGCACAGCTCTGAGTGTGACCACAGCCTTCGAACCCACCTCTGTGCCAGCTAGTGTGCTGGCTCCCTTTGGTAGGAGAAATGGTACTGATACTGATACATTAAGGTGATACTACCTTAATGCCCAGGCCTGTGAACCCCGCTACAGCTGGGTCCCTGGCATCGGTTATAGCTCAGGAGGTCTGTGTTCCGGATTCTTCCGCGTCCCTTCCACCTTGTGACCTTGTGGTGTGTCCCTCTGACCAGAGCCATGGTGTGCAACCAGAGGAACACCTCCCTCTCTCAGTCACCTCGTGGGGGCTTCCTGTCCTCGCTGCTGCCACAGAGTAAGAAGAGCCCTTCAAGGTTGTCACCTGCTCAGGGGCCCCCTCAGATTCAGAGCTCGGCCAAGAAAGACTCCTTCAGCAGCCAGGTAAGCTCAAATCCCGCCTCTCTAACTTTGCCAAGAGGCCTGTGACATCTAACCTGTGTTGAGATCTGCAAGTGCAGACTGTGTGTTCCCCTTTGGCTGATTTCTCTGGTGTGCCGAGGCATTCCGTTTCTTCCTCTCCGCCTTTCCCCTCACAGACGAGTATGATTCTGCAGGATGAGACTGTTGGGAGGGTATAGAGGAGGCACCGAGAAGGAAAATCCACTCACAGCATTCCGACTCTCTGCCTGCTCCCTCTCCCCTCACTCTAGTATTGCAGGTGTTGCAGGCACACTGAGCCAGCGGGGAGGTATTGATCAGCCCCAGGGTGCTCCCCTGTGCCAGCTCTCAGAAGCTTGGCTCTGCAGGTGCAGGAGTGGAGGGCAGTGAGAGGAAGGGTGCTTGGAAGGTTCTCCCCTTTTCTCATCAATTTTCTATGAATGCAGGAGGACTGACCACTGTGATTTGGTCTTATGATTCAAGGGTAAATTGAAGTGATTCTGGAATTTTGAATTTTGGCCAATGTAAAGTAGCATGTAAAGAGTAAATTAGAGTTACTTCTGAATTGATGTATTTCTTTTACAAGTTGATATTTACTGATGCTGCAAAGGATTTTGCAATTTTTCACTTGTATAGAAGCTTACAAGAGAACTTTTATTATGCCTGGTTATTTCCAAAACAGCCACAGGTCCCACTGAATAGTTTTTAGTAGAGATGGTCTGAATTTGTTGCTTTTAGAATTTATTGTTATCAGAGAACAAGTTTAACAGACCCGCAGTTATGCTGTATTGCTTGCAGAGAGACCCTTTCTCTTTTAATATAGTTTTGTTTGTACAGATAGAGTAAGTCTTCATGGTCTCTGCCTTTTTCTGCTCTGAGCTTGAGAATAGTCGAGAGTCACGCGGCACAGCTCACCACATCAGGGAGGCAGGGTCAGCCCCTAGCTGCCATCGGGGAGTCGGGCTTTCTAGCCCAGGACTTTGGATTACTATTGTTGAAGTGCAGACGCTGAGCATGACACCGGAGAAGAAACAGGCAACTGAGTTGTCAGCTTTGAGCCCTCGTTTATCACCCTTGCTCTGATTGCTTACACTTGACCTAAGGAGCGTGGCATAATAATGACAGTACTTATGCTCTTGTGGGAGGGTTAGCTGAGGTGATGTAAGCGCCCCCAGTGTATGCCTGGAATATCATAAACTCATAGTGAGTACATTTTAGTAGTAACTGTAGTAATTTAGCAGTAATTGTGAAGGTACCAGCCTACTTGAGGACCCTTGTGGTTTCTGAGACCTGAGTGCCAAATGACTATAATCTTATAATCCGTGATGGTCCAGTCGAGGCAGTCAAAAATCAATCATGGTTACTCTTACTTTTAGACTGTTTCTGAAATTCAAACCTTAAAATTATAAATCCAGTTCTGTGGCCAGAGTTAGTTTTACTATTTGTGGCACAGGTCTTGTTCACCTTACAGTTTGCTCAGTGCAATAGTAGATGATGTGTGGCATGTGAAGGCCCTTGAAATGTGCAGGAAGTTATGAAATTTCATTTGCATGGATCTTAGAGGGAGGCTCTTGGGAGTTAGGCCTGTGCCCTTGCTCTTTATGTGTTCAGGAGCTCAGTGTTGTATGGTGAAGTTGAAGTGGGATTGGAAATTTCTAACATAGTTCACATTTAAGAGCTGAAGTTAGAAATGTGTCATTTGCAGCAGACATTCCTTACCTTGCCTCTAAAATATCTTTAAACTCCATGTGGTGTGTTGACAGAGCAAAGGCGGCCCTCTTTCTGGTTCCTGACTGCAAAGGTCTATAATCTGAAAAAGCCCCAGGACTGGGCTGCCCATCAGTCTGTTACTGATGATAGATCAGTTAGTCTCAGCATTGATATTTTAATTCTAAAAGTAACTAGTGGGGCCTCCCCGGTGGTGCAGCGGTTGAGCGCTGGGTTGCGAAGCTGCCCGCAGCCTCTGCGGCGCTGGTTCGATCCCCGGCTGCTCCCCGGCCACCAGAGGAGGGTCCCACATGGCGCGCAGACCTCTCCTGCTGCCCGCTGCTCCCCTCAGCAGTGTACTTCTGTCCTTCTGCCTGCTCTGCTCCCCGCTCTGGCTCTGGTGAATTCTCTCACCCTCCTGCGCTTCTGACTGTACCCAGTGCATGTATAAACAAAACAAACAAACAAACAAACAAATAAATAAATAAAAACATGCCTCTATAAAAAAAAATAAAAATAAAAGTAACTAGTGGATTTGAGGTTCAAGAAAATCAAAGAATGTTACTATTGGAAGGAAGCTTATAGGTCACGTGACCCACTTGTTTATCGAGTAGAGGCTACATTCTTTGGATTGATTGCCTCCTATGGTGGAGCTCACTCCTTGTTGTGTTTGACTGTTAGAAAGCAGGTAATAGAAACCTCTGTGTAGTTCGTATTAACTGCTCTCAACTTTGCTCTCTGGAGTTATCGAGAATAAGGCTTCTTGAGAGCATACCCCTGTCTTTTCCATGCCAGCCACCCTGTTCATTCCTCTCTCTCCCAAGACTGTTTACCTGTATGGAATGACTTCTAGACTCCTCACCATCCTGTAAGGGGACAGTCTAATTTTTTAATTCCTCTACTGCAATTGATGCCCAAATATAAGTGTATGGTTTGAGCTGCTCTTTTACCAATATTGAATGCAGTTAGTTGTATGATCATGCCCTATGATTTTAATGATCTACTGCTTTTAACTCAGTAGAGAGTGACATTGATTTTTAAAATTTATTATTTACTGACAGCATATAGTCAGCATGTAGTCTTCTTCTTACTACTCCCTCACCAGTAGGGTGAGTGTAAGCAAACAAAGAAATAAAAAAGCTGTGTCATTAAATTAGCAATACATAAAATGATTAGGCTCTCGCACATTAGCTATTCACATATGGCATTGTCAGTTTCACTTCACATTTTACCCACTTGGAAGTGGCTGTCACGGTTGTCAGTAATGTTCACAGCTTATAGGTGGATATGAATTTGGGGTTAAAATTCAGAAAGCAAAATGGAAACAACTGTAAAACCACAATTCCCAAGCTCTTCTAGGATTGCTTACAACAGCCAGGGAGGGCATCTCAGCAGCACGCTCGCCCACCTGCAGCTTGTCCTCCATCCTCCCCTGCAGCTGTAATTCCACTCCTTCCACACCCACTTGGTAAGCCATGGGGCTGCAAGTGGGGATTACCTTATTATAGAGATAGCCTTTAATTGACTGTAATGTAAGGGAAGCAAAGCATCCACAAAAGTTGTGTGTTTGTAATGCTTATTAGTGTCTAATTACCTCATAGCTACTGAGACATCGTGGTACGAACAGCTGCCCTGGGGGCTGTTTCCATGGATCTTAGGAGGATGGGAAAAGGCATGCACTTCTGTGTCATTCATTCTGTAACTTGTGTGTTACGAGGGCCTGTCTTCTGGGTGGTGGTAGTTTGCTTCCGATGAAACCTAATTATTAGAACTCATTATCTGCCCCATTTGCATGACCATATGGCAAGCTCTGTTCACACCACTGAAAATTAACTGGTGTTGATTTATTTCTGCGCCAGAATGAGAAGGGAGAAGGTTGCTGAGACACAGGTTGAAATATCTCTCCTGGACTGTAGACAAATATAATCAAATATAATTGAATTATAAGAATCTATTAGTTAAAGTTTTTATGAACTTTGCTGTTAAAGAAGTTTTAGTTACCAGTGATGTCACTAAACATTTAATAATACATATTTGTGACTAGACACAAATTTACCTTCATTTATTAAAGATTTTTCTGGACAACTGTACTCATCAACTTTTCATACATTGTTTTTTGCTGTGGTTCACCCTGCTTTAGTCAATAACTTAGGTATAATTTAAGGAGATGCTCTCTTGACACAGTGTCTTATAGATCACACTTAGGTCTATAGTGCCCTTAGTCTAGGGCACCTGTTCCCAGCAGGTGAATTCTGTGATTAAATTCATTGCAGTGCCTTTTCAACTTTTCTTTTGAAACACTGTCTAGCCCCTGCCTGATGATGTACTATACAACTTCCTGGCTATCTTGAACAGAGAGGTGATTATATAGTGGATAGATACCTTTTTCATATCGCGAGCACACTAATATAACATTTACAAGCAACAAAATGTTCGTAAAACCTGGCATAAGGCCTGACCTGCCTCTCATCACTTAGTAAGTACTGGTCTTCTCCCCTTAGCTAAAGTTAATGGCTCTGATTAGGTCAAGAAGATACCTGTCTGTCTGTCTGCAGACAATTAGGGCAGGCTGACAGTTAGGACAGTGACAGGGCTTGCTGAGGGGTGTGGCAAAGGGCCCCTAAAATCAGGGAATCGGAGGATGGAAGGAAGTCTAGATGGCTTATTTTATGTTTCACTTTTGCCTTTGCCCTCTGGCTGGTAACATTTAACTGTTTGCTCAGCAAGGCCTGGAGGTACCTCCCCAAGAACTATTGGGGAGAGAGCAGGAGAACCCTTCTCCCCTCCTGGCCAGGCGTCAGGGCCCGAGCTCTGGCGGGAAGAGACCTTGCACAGCCTGTCCTCTTGTCCCCAGGTGGCCAGGGGAAAGGATCCTGCGTGCGGGCCCAGGGAAGGGAAGAGCCCATTCAGCGGGCTGGCTGCCGGGGAGTCCAGCTGGTCACAGCACCGGCAGCGGCGCCTGCAGGATCATGGCAAGGAAAGGAAGGAGCTTCTTTCTATGACTTTGCAGGTGAGGCTTGGGCGAGGCCACCATGGAGGCCGTGGGAAGTGGTGGGTGGGCAGGGCTCGCTCTTGCCTCCCTCCGTCTGCTGCTGTGTAGAGTGTGGCTTTGCCTAACTGTCGATCGCTTATACTTTGGCGGTTTTGTTCATATTTTGCCTGCCTCTCCGGCGGGCCCCCTTCCCAACAGCATGTGCCTAAGTAGGGGCCATGAATGCTAGACTGTGGAAATGTTTCCAGCAGTGAGTTCTGTGATTAAATGATGTGGACCCTTGTATGCGACATCCTGACCTCGGGTTAACCGAAACAGCCTCTCGGGGCTCTTGGGCCCAGTAGGAGAAAAACCCAGTTCCCTTGGTTTGGCCTAGAATCACCAGGCTTGCTTGATGACGGGCCCCCTCTTCTTCCGCACCCCCTGCGGCCCTTCTGCTGGTGTTGCTGCCCAGGGACCATGTGCCACATGAGTAGGGGCAGAGTCTGCTCTTCACCACTGTCTAGCTGCCTTTGCTGCTGCCTCTGGGTTCAAGGCAAAAGGGCAAGGGATTTGCCGCCTCGTTTACCTTCTTGACCATTTATCACTAGATGGGCCTCTTGCCTATATTACAAGCATTCCTGCCAGTTACCAGCCCTGAAGTGGTTCCAGTTTGATGGCAGCAGACCCTAAAGGCTCCATCCTCTCTCCCTCTGTTCCTGCCTGGAGGATGAAAGGCACCCCTGGAGCTCAGACCCCCATAGACACCTACCTGAGCCTGTGGTGTGTGTTCTTCTGTTACGCCTTTCCTGTAGAACTGCTCCTCCTGCGCCTTGGGGAGCACCTAGAGATCAGGCACTATGGGGGTGGTGGTCAGAGCCCCCGCGTGGGGCCCTCCGGCCAGGGTCATGTGTAGGTGAGCAGGTATAGTAAGTAATTGTGGTGACTGATGCTGCACCAGGGAGGCAGAGATGGGGCAGCTTTGGAACCCTGGGTGGTGGGACACCCTGGCCCCACTGCTGTCTTGGGCCTCTCATGTCTGGCCAGTTGCCTCAGTCTCTCTGTATCCTTCCCAGGAGGGTCCTGGGGAGCGGCCAGGCTTCCCTTTGCCTGACGTGGCTTTACTCCAAGTCTGCAAGTACTGCCCTTTGCCAGCTCTTGACTTTGGGCAAGTTATCTAACTTCTGCTTTCAGTCTTGGTTTCCAAAGCTGTAAAATGGGCTTAATTATAGGGTCCTGGAGGGTTTGAGGGAGGAATAAATGAGAGAATTGGTCATGATCACACAGTGCCTGACACACAGTAGGTGATTTTTGCTATCACTGACCTGGCATGCCAGGTGTGTCCTGAGACTCATCAGCTAGACCGGCAGGGGTGCCTGTGGCCCACGGCTCCCTCTGCAGGGCCTCTGACAGGAGTGTCAGTGGAGCAGGGAGCTATCTGTCCTGGGGTGAGCTGGTGCTGCTGTTGCGTCTCAGAGCTTCTTCTGGACTCTGTGACCCTAAAAACCTCCCCAGAGTGCTCCGTCCTGCATCCTTGACCTCCACATCAGGTCCTTGGATGTGGGGGGCCTGGCCCGGGTGCACCCCTGTAGCCGACTGCCTCTGCTTTGTTTGACCCAGGGCACAGAGAAGAAGCCCGAGGCCAGTGGCCCAGAAGCAGAGTCCTGCCCCGAACCCCACGTGGAGGTACCGGACATGCTGACTCGGGCTCCTGTGTCAGGCCCTGAGGGCGCAGGGGTCCGCCCTGAGCAGCCCTTCATCGTGCTGGGGCAGGAGGAGTACGGGGAGCACCACTCCTCCATCATGCACTGCAGGTGGGTTCTGGCCTGGGACAGGGTGGTCTCCCAGGGGACCTGGATTTTCAGGCTGAATCGGAAGGTGTGGCCAGGACAGGGACGGGAGGGCAGAGACGGGAGGGCAGAGGTGTGGATGGTGGGCTGGTCTCCGAGGGACCCTGATCTCCCTGGAAGAGTCAGGACAGCAGGGGTCCTGCTCAGAGCTGGAGCAGCATTTGGCCTGGTTGGCCTCCCCACCCTTTCTCCCATGGGTGTCTGAATTTTAGGAACACGTTACTTTTTATTCCTCAATTTTGATTTGCTTTATGTTGTTGTTTTTTTATTTTTAACGTGATTATTTACCATGTGTAAGTTTCTACTTTTATGAGGTGAAAGTATGATCTTTTATGAACAAGTCTTTACAGAGTGTAATTTTCAGGGGTCTTGCTAGCCAGACCCAATGGGCCCTGGAGCCACAGTGCAGGAGATGGAGAGCCGCAGACTTGGGGTCGCGTGTGGCAGTGCACAGCTCACCCCCTGTTCTGGCCCCAGTGCTTCCCACAGGGCTCAGCGCAGGTTGGCTGCTTTCTCAGTAGTTCTTGGACAAATGAGTAAGTGAGATCTCTAGAAATAGCTTCCATTGTTCTTTTAAGTTGAGGTATTTTGGGATGATTTTTAAAAACAGTTGGAAAGACAGAAAGGCAGTAACGACCCCCGTATAAAAACAGTGGAGAGCTGAAGAGGATGATGGACTAAAGCGCGTGCTGATGCCTGCCCTCCTTCTCTCTCAGAGTGGACTGCTCCGGGAGGAGGGTCGCCAGCTTGGACGTGGATGGGGTCATAAAGGTGTGGTCCTTCAACCCCATGATGCAGACCAAAGCATCCTCCATTTCCAAGTCACCGCTGTTGTCTTTGGAGTGGGCCTCCAAGCGCGACAGGCTGGTGAGTGACGTCCCGCCCTGTTGCCGGCTCTGGGTCTGAGACGTCTGCAGGGCTCTCGAGCAGCCAAGCCAGACCCCTCCCTCCTCTCATTGAGAATTTAAGGACCACGTGTCCTAGCATTGTCCAGCAGGCACCTGTTTGGGGGAGACAGGGAACTCACCGAATGAACAAGAATTGAAATGGGATTACAGTGGCCCCCTCCTGTCAAACAACCAAGGCTGACCCGCCTCCCCGTCTGCCCAGGATGAAACCATCCAACTTCTGGCTCCCTGTCAGCTCCTGTCATCTGTCCATGTTTCTAACAACCCACCATCGCAGCTGCTCCCCTCTCCTGCTGAGACCCTCCTGTGCTGGGGTGGGCAGTAGTGAGAAGGGTTGGACCAGCTGGGATTTAAAACTGAAAGCCGGGAGAGAAGAGCCAGGGTGTCAATCAGTCAGAACATTTCTCTGTGTATCTGAGGTGACGCCTCTCCTGTTCCAGATCCCTTTTGTGGTTTTTGCTTCTGTTTTAGCATCAGCTCTGATGTCTTTTTAAATGAGGCTTGTTTTAGACAGATTTTACCTTAACTACCTGGATAAGTGGAGGGGGGCCTTCTCCCTGCAGACTGCCCAGATCTGCCCCTCACAGGAGAGGGTCTGGCTCTTTCAGTGGTCCTCCTAGACCGGCCCTGACCCACCACGTGCTGATCTTCTTGCCTCTCACCCCTTCTCTTTTCAGCTCTTGCTGGGCAGTGGCGTGGGGACAGTGCGCCTTTACGACACGGAAGCCAAGAAGAATCTCTGTGAAATCAACATCAATGATGACATGCCCAGGTGAGCTGTTCGCCCCGCCCCACACTGTGCAGGGGCTGGGCCTTCCTGAGTAGCTTGGCCAGGTCTGCTGCAGCAGGACCCAGCCTGAGCCTGCTCCCCAGCCTTCCTCCCTGAGCCGGCCCCTGTGCATTGCAGAATCCTGTCCCTCGCGTGCAGCCCCAATGGGGCCTCTTTTGTCTGTTCGGCTGCGGCTCCGAGCCTCGCCTCCCAGGGGGACTTCTCAGCACCAGACATCGGCAGCAAGGGCACCAACCAGGTTCCCGGGAAGCTGCTGCTGTGGGACACGAAGTCCATGAAGCAGCAGGTACCAGCCCTCCCCGGGGGTCTCCTGGGGTTCACACTCTCCGAAGGAACATAGCCCGCTCTTTCTTTCTTTTTTTTTTTTAAGATTTATTTATTTATGCAAGCACTGGGTACAGTCAGAAGCGCGGGAGGGTGAGAGGATTCACCAGAGCGGGGAACAGAACAGGCAGACTGATGAAATACACTGCTGAGGGGAGCAGCGGGCGTGGCAGGAGAGGTCTGCGTCCCATGTGGGAACCTCGCCGGCTGCTGGGGATCGAACTGGCGCTGCAGAGGCTGCGGGCAGCTTCGCAGCCCATCGCTCAACTACTGCGCCACCGGGGGGCCCTGCCCCTCTATTTCTGATGAGCCTCTTCCCTCTCTTTTTGGATCTTCCTCAGATTTTGATTTGCAAGGGAATTTCAAAGGTTCAGCTTTGAGAAGAGTTCTATTCCAGCTGGGCAGATTGCCGGCAACCCAGGTCATTCAGAGATGTCGCTGATAACATCCACCCCTCACTAGGGGAGTGGGGCCTGTCCCCTGAATCATGCAGTGTTGTAAACCAACATCACTGCAGTAACAAACAGTTAAAGAAAGTAACAGAATTGTACCACAAACTTAGAAGTCAGACAGAGCCTGCTAGAAGTTTCTAATGGTTTATTAAAAAATATTTTTTTTTTATATTGAAAGACTTTATTTAGCAGTTTTAGGTTCACAATATAATTGAGAGGACACTACAGAGAAATACCTCCCACTCCCACCTATGTACAGCCCACCCCCCCCCCACCCAAAGGTGTGTACATTTATTACAGTTAATGCACGTCATAGCCACCCAGAGTTCCTAGTTTTCCTTAGGGTTCACTCTTGGTTGGCTGTCCCACTGCTGTCTTCAGCCTGTGTGGGCCACACCCAAATTCTTGAGTGCCTTGCCTTGCTACCACGCCCCTCCTCTCCTCCTTTCCCTCATCTTGGCAGATGTGTCCACTTAGAAACTGGGCGCTTTCCTGGACCCAGGCACCTTCCTCAGCTGCACGGTCAATCCATGAGCAGACAGTGTCAGTTCCACTCCAGAATGCGTTTCCAGTTTGCCCGCTTCTCTGCGTTTCCTGGGGCTACCCGAGACCTCCTTTCCCCACCCTCCGCTGGACACCCATAGATGTGTATTGAGAAGAAAAACCCCAGAAGGAGCACTTAGCTCCATCACAGCTTAAAGACAGAGGATATGCCCTTCCTCAGCTTGATCTCTTTCCGCTCCTCCTTCCCAGAGAGAACTTGTCTGGAATTGTGGCTTCTTCTTTGCTTACATTTTTAAATTTATTTTTTGCATGTTGATTTGTTTCAGCTCCAGTTCTCCCTGGATCCAGAGCCCATTGCTATCAACTGCACGGCCTTCAATCACAATGGGAACCTGCTGGTCACTGGGGCGGCTGATGGCGTCATCCGGCTGTTTGGTAAGCAAGGTGCTCGGTCCTGGGTCTTCCTCAAATGTCCTAAGGAAGAGAGCAGGATTGTGGCAGCTGGACTGAAGGCTGCTGCCAAATCCGATTCTGGATGCGGGTAATAGAGCTTAACCTTGGTCAGAATTTGCTGTTTTCAAAAGGCCCTCCATGATCACCTCACGTGCGCTCAGTGTCCGGGTGCGGGAGGGCTGGAGCTTGGCATCTGTGCCTGAGCAGATCTGTCCGAGTCCTGCCGGCCTGTGTGGAGTCAGGACACGAAGAGAAGGCAGACCCGTGCTCTTGGTGCACTCGCTCATTCTGCCCACAAAAGCACCAGAACAGTGCATGGGGTTTGTCCAGGTGCTGCTTAAATATCCTGGTGCCAAGCCTGTCCCTGGAGACTCAGTGTTAGAGGCTCTGGGTGGGCTTCGGTCTCCAGGGTCCCTAGGAAGCGCAGAGGCCTTCCAGGAAGGGCTTGAGTGTCCTAGACTGGTGGCTCCTCAGATGAGGTCAGTCTTTACCCAGGGATTCCTGAACCTCACTTTGACCCAGTGACAGAAGGTTCTTTTTAAGATATCGCAAACAGAAGATAGGATGCCACGGAGGACAGACAGCAAACCGAAAGACCACTGTGGCCCCTCTTCCACAGGGTCAGTGCTGACACCTGTCGGATCCTGGAGCCCCCCTGTGTCCAAGGGCTGCTGTCTCCCCGCAGGCAGGAGTCTTAGTGGTGTCTTTTGTCATTGCCTCAGATATGCAGCAGCACGAGTGCGCCATGAGCTGGAAGGCACACAGCGGGGAGGTGTACTCGGTGGAGTTCAGCTACGATGAGAACACCGTGTACAGCATCGGCGAGGACGGGAAGGTAGGTGGGAGCAGGCTCTTCCCTCCCTCTGGCTAAGGCACGGGAAATTCTAGAGAGCAGCGGAAGAGCATGGTGGGCCGGTTTAAATCCTGACTGCCTTTTGCCGGTGCTGAGCTGGGCCTCAGTTTTGTCATCTGTAAAGTGGGGATAAAAATGGCAACCAGTCTCATAGGATCCTGGTGAGCTTTTAGTGCGGTCGGTGGGAGTTGGCTCTTCTTAGGAAGCGGAGTATCCCCCACTCCTCCCCCCCTTCCCCTTGTAGCAGAAGTGACTCCTCTTCCTGCAGATGGAGCAGTGGGGTCTGGGTTTGGGGGTGGGTTGTGCTGTAGTGAGCTGGGTCATCAGTGGTCACAGCATAGGAGTAGGGAGTTGGCGGGGGGGCTGGGACACCTCCCAGAGGCAGGGCACACAGGCCTGAGTGGTCCAGAATAGCAAAGGGGAGCTGAGAAAAAGTGAAAACAAATGCCCCTTGTAGATTCTCTTGGAGAAAGCACTGCGGGTGGGAAGGCAGGCAGACTTGGGAGAGAGACTGGCGCTTCCTGTCTGTCCTCCGGTGCCCTGCAGATTCTACCCTCTGCCCGTATTATCCATGACAGGAGTAACTGCACAGCGAATTCTTCATTGAAAACTGGGGGCTTTTTAAATTAAAGTGTGACTGATTCTTTGGGTGGGATTCTCAATTCGGGTCCCCACCAAGGCAAGGCACCCACGGGGCAGGCTCGAGGAGTCTACACGGTCCATCAGGTGGAGGCCGTAACCCCACTGTTCGTGCCCACCCTGCACCGCTGAGACTCTGGAGTGTATTTGGAATTGGTCCTTCTGCTTTGTTCCTCAATCAGGAAAATCTAGCTGGGCTCTAACCTCAATACTAATAACAGCGGTACCAGCCACTTGAAACCTCCCCCTGCTCGAGAGACCCGAAATCCAGGCAGAGGTGGCCGCTTGCCCTTTTCCTCTCCTGGGGTCAGGCCAGAGGGAAAGTTCAGACTTTGACGTGAGGTGGTGCTTCTAGATTTTGTCCCCTTAGGAAGTGCTTAAGTTGTGTTGGGAACGGGTGGGCTGGGAGCACCCCCTACCTTCCCTGGCGGCTGAGGCCCAGCCCCTCAAGCTCTGGCTTCCGTGCCGGTGTTCCTCCCAGGCCTGGCCCTGGCAGGCAGCGGCAGCCCCGCTGAGAGAGCTGTGTGCTTGTGCTCATGGTTGCAGTTCATCCAGTGGAACATCCACAAGAGTGGCCTCAAGGTGTCCGAGTCTGGCCTCCCTGCGGACGCCTCGGGCCCCTTCGTGCTGTCCGGTTACAGCGGCTACAAGCAGGTTCAAGTCCCCCGGGGCCGACTCTTCGCTTTTGACTCAGAGGGAAATTATATGCTGACGTGTTCTGCCACAGGAGGCGTCATCTACAAGGTACCTGCGGTGGTGAGCAGCGAGGCTTCTCTGTGTTGGTCTGAGCCAGGCAGGACCCGTGCCTTCCTCCTCGTCCCCACTCAGCAGGGTGGTGGAGATGTCCTTGACTTGGGGGACAGGGCCCAGGGCCTCCTGGCTGCAGGCCAGGTGGGGGCTGAGTGTAAGTGAGCTCTGAGCAGGTGGGGGGGTGCGGTGAGGGGAACTGGACACGCCTGCCCCCCTCCCTGCACATCCACTTGTCATTGTCAGGGCCTTGCCCCATCCTCCCTCCATTCTTTGGCAGTCACCCTACTGCAGAGCATTAAGGGGAAGTGTGTTGGTCTGGCACACACCCTGCTCTCTGCATATGGCTGCTGGCTCTTCACACCTGGGTCAGGGTGGTGCCTCCGGGTGGTTTGGCCACTGATGGTGGATGAAGGGGACATATTTGTGAACAGTGTCTGCTGACGTCACTTTCCCTCTCCTGTCCTCTTGCAGCTGGGCCGGGACGAGAAGGTTCTGGAAAGCTGCTTGAGCCTGGGCGGTCACCGAGCCCCTGTGGTCACTGTGGACTGGAGCACAGCCATGGACTGCGGGACCTGCCTCACTGCCTCCATGGACGGCAAGATCAAGCTGACCACCCTACTGGCCCACAAGCTCTGATGGGAACTGCCCCGAGGGACACCCACGGGATGATGGGACTTGCCCCGAGGGGCACCCACAGAAACAGTGTTATTTGGTGTGGGGAGGGGAGAAGGGGGTGGACAGGAACACAGGATGTTCAACCTCGGCCCCTGCCACTGCAGGGAATCTTCAGGGAAAGACTGTCCAGCTGCTGTGACCAGAGTGGGGGGCCTGTGGGGTACGGGGTGCAGCTCCCCAGGGCTGACTCCCCAGGGAGACTCAGGAAGCAGGAGAAGCACTGTGATGGCCTCTTTGTTGGCCAAGGAAAGATTGACAGTATTTTGTATATAGATGCTCAGTTTTCATTTTTTTTTTTAAAAAAAAGAATGCACTTGTCAGCTGGTGTCTCTGTCTGGAATGTGTGTGTGCAGCGGAAGTCAGCTGTGGGTCTAGCACCTGGCTCTGACCCGCCACACATGGCTGGACCTTACCTGAAGAACATCCTCTCCTCTGGCCCACTCTTCACTACGGCTGCGCCCTTCCTATTTTGGGCACAAATCCGGGAGGCCCTAGTATTCCTTCCCTTCCCTGAGAGTTGGTGGCTGTGGTTGTAGAAACTTCTGGAGTGACAGCAGGGTCTCGAGGCTTCTGCCTCTGGCCACCTCCTTCTCTCCCAGGGACTGCCGCCCCCAGCCCTCTGCCCTTGAGGTTGAAAGGAGCAACGCCAGCGCCCTCTGCTGGTGAATGGTCAGAGAGCTGAACAAGTGGGCCAAGGAGCCTGGGTGGAACTTGGGGTTCCCAGGCTCCCCTGTGATGGAACAGAACCTGGTTCTACTGTGACCACATCCCTGCCGGTGGCCTCCCCTCATTATCTGACTCGGGTGGGACTTTGAAATACCGGGCAAGGGTGGCCCGATTGCCCAGACTCTCTGGGCTCCAGCAGTCTAAGGTGGGGTACTTCCTTCACCCACCTGCTGTGCAACCGTCCCAGACAGGGTAGCTTCATCGTTGGTTGTCAGCTTGAAAGAGAACCTGGGGCGTCATCCCCAGGTTAGGGGAAAGCGAGCCAGCAGGGAGACAGCAACTTGGGCCCCCTGTGAATCCCTATAGCTCTTTCCTCTGGTAGCTGTTCTCTGCAGCTCTCCACTGCTTGGTCGTCCGCCCCCAATCCCCCAATCCCCCGCCCTCTGTGACACCTCCCTTATAGACCGCCTCTCAGCGCAGGTGTGCCCACGTACGCTTGGCACACCGCACTCCAGGTGGCCACCGTCGGGCCTGCCCGAGCCCACGCTCCCAGGCGCCTCCCGCATTCAAGGCCGCAGATGGCAGCCATCGAGGGCAGCGGCATAAACGCCCCGAGCCTCTTCATTTACCCTGCACCACCTTCGGAAAATTGCAAAGACATTGGCACTAAACTCTACACTCCATTCTGCCGGGGGTTGGAGGACGAGTAGGTATTTAAGGGGTTAAACTGTGAGGAAACACAAGACTTACTAATAGTTCCTTCTACCTTTCCCCCATTTCCACTATGTTAATCCTCCATTCACATGGGGAAACCCAGGACTTTGCAGTTACCATTTTAGGTGTGCATCGCCACTGCAACCTGACCTGTCTTCCCGGGCACAGACCTTGGCCTCGTGGCCACTCCCCACCCCACCAGCAGAGCTCTCAAAAATGCATCCCCTTCCCCCTAATTTCTGATGCAGGAACCTGGCACGCATCCAACAGGGCTGTCAGAAGCTACTGCTACGCAATATTCATCTGGTAAAGAGCAGCAAAGGCAGACTATTGCGCGCGGGGGGACTGCAGCTGGGAGAAGCTGGGCTCACCCCCAATACCACATGGAAAAGTGGGAATTTGGAGCCAAGGAGCAGGGGCGGGGGGCGGGGGGGGGTTGTCTTTGAATGGAAAATTGCTAACAGGGAGCAGGGGAAGGGCGGGTTCTCCTCTGCCGACCTCGCGGGATTCTTGCTTCCGGCGGGTGGGCATCAGGCCGGGGCCACGGGAGGGAAGGGAGATGCATCCGTTCCCAGGGCGGTCGGCGTTGGGCGCCAGGAGCTCTAGCTACAGCAGCTTAGCGGGATCTCCCTGAAGTCGGCAAGAGCCTAGGCGGGCTCGTCAGTCCAAAAGACGGAGCCTCGTCGCGAGGGGCGTTCAGAGCAGCCCGCTGGAGCTCGGCGAGAGCCCGTGGTCTGGACCCGCGGCCGCGGGGCCGCCTCGCCCCCGCCCGGGGTCCGCGTGCGCGGTGGGGGCTGCGGCCACGAGAGCCGCCTGCAGGGGGCGCGCGCGCGCCGGCGGCTGGAAGCGGAAGCGCCGAGGGCGCCGGGGGCCAGAGCCGCAGCGCGGCGTCTGGGGGCGAGGTGCGCGCGGGCGCGGGGCGCGGGCGCGGGGCGCGGGGCGCGGGGCGCGGGGCGCGGGGCGCGGGGCGCGGGGCGCGGGCGCGCGGGGCGCGGGCGCGGGGCGCGGGGCGCGGGCGCGGGGCGCGGGGCGCGGGGCGCGGGGCGCGGGCGCGGGGCGCGGGGCGCGGGGCGCGGGGCGCGGGGCGCGGGGCGCGGGGCCAGACGGCCGCGCCTGGCGCCCCTGGCCTCCCCTCCGCTCCCTGCGCGCGCGCGCGCGCCCCACCGGCCGGCGGCGCGGGGTTTGGGGACGCCGGGCTCCCCTGCCCGCGGGCCTGGCTGCACCGGGGTTGCCCCCGGCCTCTGCTTCTGGGAGTCCCGGACAGCGGGGCGGGCGCTGGACGCGGGTGTGGGGTCTGGGGCCTGGTGGCGAGTCCCGGCCGGCCAGTGTACAAAAAGCGTGCACATTGCCGAGTCTCCGCCCTCTCTGGGGAAGTGGGCTTGCCCGGGCCCGGCCCGGCCGGCTCCAGGAGTCGTGCATCAGCAAAGGTCTGCTCGTGGGTGGGCAGCAGCCGGGCTGGATGAGCAGCCAATGAGCTCGTCTGATTAGAGGGGAATCTTACCTCGTTACCTTTTCCGGCAAACCTCTGCTCCCGGGAGATCCTGGGGGGCCACTCCTGAGCTGCTTTCAGGGTGACTGCCGGGTGGGGGGCCGAGCCAGGCACCCTAAGTCACTGGCTGGGCCTGGGCTTTAGGACGGGGGACTGAGTGGTGCCAAGTGGGGTTGGGAGGAGTGAGGTCAAGAGGAGGGGCTCGCCCTGGGCCAGAGTGGGGGGAGGCCAGAGTCCAGGCCCAGGTACCACTGGCTAAAATCTGACCAGTCGGAAGCATCTTTGGATGAAAGGAGGTGTTGGCCCTTCACTGTGACTCAGAAGGCTCCAGAGTCTTCGTAAGCCCTCCACGTCTGAGGAAAGGAGAGGTCTGTGGTTGGGAGAGAGGAGAGACCTGGGAGCCTGATTATAGGGGTGGGAGAGACTTGGCACCCTGGGGTCAGTGAGGTGCTGAGGACAAGTGTGTGTGAGGGGGTGAGAGGGGTCTTTCCTTTCTCCTGGGGGGGTGCCCATCCCCCCGAGGTTGAACATCTCAGGGCTATGGGGTGGGGGTGGGGGTGGGGTGCTGGCTGCCCTGTGGGGCACTGGGCACCATGGCTGGTCAGAGGGTTGCTTCTCCCTTGGCCTGCCCACTACCGCACCTCCCGCTTGATGCCCTGTGAACAGCCTGGTCACCTCTGGCCTCCCCTGCCAGAAGTGGCTGATGACAAAGTATTGTAGCTTGTTCAAATTCACTGGCCTTTGTTTTTTGTTTTTTTCTTTTTTTTTTTAACAGGAGTTAACACTGGACTCCATTTAAGATGACAGACTTCCAATTCCTGGTGTGAGGAGAGTAGGCGTTGCTGTCCTGAAAAACTCTTCCTGAGAGACGAGAGAGATGGAAAGCTTAAAATCCAATACCAAGAAGAGGGTCCTTCCCTCATGGATGACCACCCAGGTGACCCAGAAGAGCAAAGGGTGGGCGACAACCCCCAAGAGGAGCAGAACCACAGCAGCTGCAGCAAAGGGTGACATCAGGTTAGACAGCACCTCCTGGAGACGCAGGTGGGGGGAGGAGTGGGGCATCTCAGTGAGGTGGCAGGTGTTTCTGAGGTGCAGAGGCCTCTGGTGGCAAAGCAAGCTATCCCCTCACAGACAAGCAGCATGCCTGCCTCATGGCAGCCCGGGGAGTGCAGCTCCCCTGTCAGGGGAACATTAGCTGGCGCTCAGATGCCAGTTGTCCAAAATGTCAGTCTCTTCATTTGAAATGAAATCACTGCTATCCACCGGGCAAGAGATGTGGGCCAGGCTGTCTTCCCACAGCAGAGCCTCAGGGACAGATGGATGAGCACAAGCTGAGGGGCCAGCGTGACCTCTGGGGCTGCGGGGACGGGTTGGCTGACGGATGGTAGTTGTGGGAGTTTTCAGGCTGCCAGTGAGGGACGTCCCTGCTACAGGTCCTGTCCGTGCCCTAGGGGAGCCATGTCCCTCTTGCTCTCATTTGCTTCTCCTTTGTGAGGCCTAAGGCCCATTGGTCCCCATCTGTAGCTTCTTTCCTCTGTTCCAGACTTCCTGCTGCGAAGACTGTGTACTGCATGAACGAGGCTGAGCTAGTAGACGTTGCTCTGGGGATCCTGATTGAGGTAAGTTCACGGTGTTTTATGACCTGAGACCCTTTCTGGGCAGAGACTAGACTAGGCCACAGTCAGTGTCCATCAAAGATGCCCTGTGTCCTCAGGGGCCCAGGAGCCGCTCATCTGCCCGCCACTTCCTAGTCTTCTCTCGGGTTGGGCTCCTCCTGCTCTCTCGCAGGGGAGATGAGCTCCCTCCGAGCTTTTGGGGCTGGAGACCTGGGAGGGGGTGGCGGTGAGAGGGAGTGGCCCTGTGTGGTGACTGTGTGGCGGGGACAGAGTGTGTCGCTGCTTGTGTTCTCTGAGGGGCTCGGCTTGGCAGCTGACGTCTCCCTGAACTTAGCAGCAGGCGGCTGAAGTCTGCTCCCTGCCTGAAGCAATCACGGCACTTCGGAGTCTGTATACTTACAACCTAAGCCTCCCCGGGACTTTTATATATTGTCCTGCCTCATTTCATTCTTTTTCCCGTTTACATTTTGAAAGGACAGGTCTAGTAGAAAAAAGAGAAAGAGAAGCCCCTGCACAGTCACAGGCAGGCAGGAGAGCGGCCTCATTTCACTCTTGCAGTAACCTGGCAGGGGAGTTACTTCCGATGGGGCGAACGTTTTTATCTTCCTCCTTTTGGAGATGAAGAAATGCAGACCAGGGACTTTCCTGGTGACAGAGCTCGGACCCATGCTTCAGTTTTGTTCTGTGCTCCCTCCATTCTCTCACCCTGCCCTCAGACTGTGTGTGTGTGTGTGAGTGTGTGTGCGCGCGCGCGCGTGCTACACCAGGCCACAGTGTCCATTAAAGATGCCCCGTGTCCTCAGGGGCCCAGCTCCTCGGGCTTATGCCTGCTGTGCTCTCAAGTTAGTTGATTTCTCCCAGAGCTGTGAAGAGGGGGAGGCGTGAAGAGTGGGGTGGTGTCTGATTTGGGGGCCGGGCCTGACCTGGTCGTGCACTACCTTCCCAGTCACTGCTGGATCTGTTCTACATCAGACAGGCCAGCACGTGAGGGAAGGAAAACACGTCTGTCTTGCCTGCCTCTCTTCTCCACAGGGTCGAAAACAGGAAAAGCTCTTGGAGCAGCCGTTTCTGGCAGGTGCTGATAGGCCGGAGCTGTCCCCCACCGGCTCAGGGTCACCGTCAGCATCCTCATCAGGGAGTTCTGGGGGAAGTGAGGACGAGGACAATGGAGAGGACGCCCTTCCCCCAGGCGGCAGCCCTTCTCAGGGGCCTGGAGGGTCTGCCTCTGCCTGCCCCAGCAGCCCCGGGGAAGATGAGGATGTGCTAAAATACGTCAGGGAGATCTTTTTCAGCTAAGGGACAAGCTTCCAGGACTTTCTGCCAAGAGCAGCTGAAGAGAGACGGGCTTCCCTTCCCTGCCTGCGGACTGCACCCAGGATGGGGGGTTCTGGTGGGCGACTGTGTGGAAGTGAGCAATCAAAACAAGTTCCCATTTGAATTTTTCTCCACCCAGTGCCCTTTCCCAGGTCAAGGGGACTGTTTTATTCAGTAAGAGCTTCTATCAAGAGGCAGTCTCCAGCCCTCACACCCCCCCCCCCAAGCCTTGGGGGCAGCGTTCTGGGGCTCAACCCTCAGGGCACAGGTGGGAACCGGGCCTTCCCCTCCTGCTGCTACCTCCTTCTCCGGATGGCCTTGGCCTTGGCCCTCAGGCCGCTGTAAAGCCAGAGTGAGGCAGGAGCCCAAAGGTGCAGCTAAGGACGCAAGATCATGCCGGAGTCCCAATCGCTACTCTGCTTTCTGTGCGGCGTCTGGCAAGCATAGGGTGAGGCCATCATCTGCTTTACAGGTTTTTCAATATACGGGGCTTAAACACCCGAGTCCCCAAGCCGTGTCCGCGTCCTTCCTTCTGCTGGCCTGTGAAGGGGAGGGGCGCCGTATCTGTGTGTGTCTGAGCCATTCAGTCCTGTTCACCTTCCTCTCTTGCCCGAGAATTTGGCAAATTCTGCCCCCGACTCCTGGGCCCTACCCTGGGGGTTATGCCCCAGTGGCTCCCTTGGTCTGTGTGGCTTCTGGGCCAGGAACCTTTTCAGGGGGACCTTCAAAGCCACCCAGATGTCCCTTCCAAGCCCTGTGCTCTGTCTTGGGTGTATCACTTCTGGCCTCAGTACTGCCCACCCAACAGAGAGGCGGGAGCTGCCTACCCGGGGCCCTGAGGGACACTGAGGTCTCAATATTCTCCGTTGGTCTCCCTAAACCACCTATAAATGAAGGACTCTGGCCCAGTGATAGGAATCCTTATCTCCCCACCATCCTGAGGATAAACAATGGCTTGCTCAGCTCAGTCAATTAAATCGAAGACCTGTGACTGAGTTTTGTGGTTTTAGGGGTCCCTGGGAAACCACAAAAGTTCTGACAGACAGCTCTATACTAAGAAGCCGCAGGTGCCTGCCACATGGCCTCCCTGGCACTGGTGCCCCACCCTGTGCATGCGGGTCCCCTCGCTAAAGCTCGAGGTCAGCGTCAGCTATGAAATGTGGCTGGGAAGACAGACCAGCCAGGGACTCTGATGCCACCCTGAGCACAGTTCAGACTCTACCCTTGCGGTCGGGGAAGGCTGTGGGTAGCACTAATCGCTCTCAAGCTTGTTCTCCACCCTCGCCCTCTGAGGGAAGGCCATTGTGGCTACAAGCAAGACGACGAGTAAGGCCTGGGCGAGGCCTAGCGCTATAAAGCCAGGACCCAAGAGGGAGAGCTGGATCCACCTCCATGTACAGATGAAGAAGAGGCCCAGGCCGCTGGCCAGCAGCACAGAGGATGTGGCCAGGAAGCCTACGCCCAGCTGCCACTCCCCCTTGCTACGTTTGCACTGGGCCAGGAGGAGAGGCAGGGGTGCAAAGAGGGCGAGGACCAGGGCTCCATACACGCCAAGCCTGGCCAAGGCCAGGCCAGCCTGGGGCAACTGCAGTGCCTCCAGCTCCTGGAACCGGTAACACTGGAGGGAGCTGGTGACCTCGTTCCACAGGCAGAAGTTGTAGAAGCCGATTCTCATGTCTGGCAAGTCAATGAGGTTGCCGGCCTTCCAGAGGAGAGCGTAGAACAGCAGGGAGATGACCGTGATCATGAGGGCCAGGATGCCCAGGAACAGCAGGTGGCGGCACCACCGCAGCCATGGGGTGACCATTTTCTCCTGTGCTTTGCGGGCCTGTCCTCCGTGAACCTGAAGGGAAGCCACACCATGAGTATCCACCTTGCCCAGTTTCTTCACAAACTCATGACCTCCTTTCTGGAATTCCAGGAGAACCCCTCTCCTCCACCATCCCCAGGCACAGAGCTCAGGAGGCCCACAGCCAGGACACCTTGATAAGCCGGCAGCTGAGTTAGGCGGGAAGGCTCTCCCGTGCAGCTCTGCGGGCCTGACCACCTTGCTGGGTGCCCTTGGGCCAAAGGCTTTGCTGCAACGCAACACCATAACCATTAGAAACAACTGGGGGTGGGGTTCTCGGCTCTCCACGGAGGGTGTATTGGACAGTGAGGGAGAAGGGGGGCTGTTATTGGGGACCTGAGGGAGGATGGGGCGCTGGCAGGCTGGTGGACCCCAGCTCTCTGGGCAGCTGTCACTAGGCCACCTGAGGAGCTGTGGGGAGAATCCTCCCGGGGCTGCAGACCCGACAGACCCCAGCCCCTGAGTTTGGGCCACGCCTACCCCCTCACCACCCTGCTGGGGAGTCCCGTGGGCTCAGGTTGTCACCCTGGGGTGAAATCACATCACAAGGACTCATGCCTTTTAAAACGTCTACACTTCCCCCCCTGACAACAGTGATTTGTTAACTATAGAAATACCAGAAGCTTTTTATAAGGGGAAAAACATGTCCAACAGCCTTTTATCCCACCACCTACATAGAACTGCTGTTCATCTCCCACCATTAGCCTCTCCCTAGGTGCGGATGTGTTTTTCAATAATCAGACCATAGAACAGAAGCCTTTTCTCAGTGAATATTGTGAACATTTTGCAAAGCTGTTCAATATTCTTCCAGAGCAGGGTGAATGACTGCACGTCACAGGCCTGCATCACCCTGGTGTTGGCAAATCCAGGGAGAGGACTGTATGGCAATGCCTTGCAATCTGATTTTTCCTGAAGCTAAGTACCTAAACGTGCGATCATCAGATCAAAGGCAGAACTGCATATTGCCAAACATCTACAGAAAATCTGTTAACAGTAGTCCCTCAAGTAGTATAGAGTATTTATCTTCCTCACCAGTTTTGAAAAGTCTTTTCACTACAGTTTTCTTTTTTTAATGAATTATTTTATATAATTCTTACATAATTTTTTACTTTTTGCATAATGTATGCATTTTCATTTTGGTTATATTCCCCATACAATTCCCACCCCCCTTATTCTGACCCTAATCCCTCTTCTTCTCCTCCTGCCCCCCACTGTCTCTGGTCTTTAGTTGCTTGTTGACTTTGATTTTTACTTTATTGCAATTAGTCTTTTTTTCTGGTCCCTTATTTAGGTTTTCTAAATTCCTGCTATGAGTGAGACCATCCGGTATTTTTCTTTTTCTTTCTGGCTTATTTCGCTGAGCATGATCCCTTCCAGCGCCATCCATGTTGCTGCAAATTGCATGTGTTTATCTTTTTTGATTGCTGAGAATAGAAAATCCAGAAATAAACCCACAGATCTATGGTCAACTAATCTCTGACAAAGGAGCAAAGACTATGCATTGGAGCAAAGAAAGTTTGTCCAATAAATGGTGCTGGGAAAACTGGGTCGCTACATGCAAAAGAATGAAGCCTGACCACTACCTCACACCATGCACAAAAACCAACTCAAAATGGATTAAAGAACTAGACATAAGACCTGAAACCATAAAATACATAGAAGGAAATATAGGCGAAACACTACATGATATGCACATCAAAGACATCTTTACAGACACATCACCCAAAGCAGTGATAGTGAAGGCAAAGATCAACAGCTGGGACTACATCAAATTAAAGAGCTTCTGCACAGCAAAAGAGACAATAACAAAAACAAAGAGAAACCCCACCAACTGGGAGAACATTTTTGCACCCAACACTAATGATAAAGGACTGATCACAAAAATCTGCAAAGAGCTGATGAGACTCAGCAACAACAAAGAAAATAACCCAGTCAAAAAATGGGCAGAAGAGCTAAAAAGAAACTTCTCTGAAGAGGAAATGCAAATGGCCAACAGGCAGATGAAAAAATGTTCAACATCACTTGTCATCAGGGAAATGCAAATCAAAACTACCATGAGATACCCTCTTACACCAGTGAGAATGGCACATATTAAAAAAACTAGCAACAACAAATGTTGGCGAGGGTGTGGAGAAAAAGGAACTCTTGTGCATTGCTGGTGGGAGTGCAAACTGGTTCACTACATTTTTCATCAGAAGGACCACTCTAAACTGCTCTCTAAACCAGTAGTTTGCATACTACAGAATTTTCCAAAATGAAACAAAATAGTCCTTTTATCCTCACGCACCTGGGGACACGGGCTGCAGGTCTCAGGAGACACAGGCTGGTGGCCTGTCAGGACGTGCCTGCCCCCAGGAGTGTTCCCAGGCCTCTGCCCCCAGTAATGTCCCCAGGCTTCTGCCCAAGGGGAATATCGATCTGCATTCTCATTCCTGTTGGATGAAGCAGTGACATGAGCCGTGGTCCTGGGGAGAAGCCCAGAGTACACAGCCCTGTGGCCAACTTCAGAGGGACCCCCTGGAGGAGCAAGCCCCTCCTCTCCCAGAGATGACCCGAGGGTCTTCTGCACGCATTCCGCCTCTGTTCTACAAGAACAGAAAGGAACACATGAAAAACATGCATGTGCACTGTGTGAGGGCTGGGAGGTGGCGCAGGCCGAGGGCAGAGCGCCTTGGTCCACTGGGTGTGGCTTGAGGGCGCCTTCCTGGGTCACAGCTGCCCAGTCACCTCGCTGTCCCCTCACAGCGCAGAAGCACAGGGACTGTTCTTACAGAAAGGCGCTGACCTGGATGCTAGGGCCCCGCTTCCTAGCACCATCACACTGGGCACTGGGCTTCAGCAGGAATTTGGGGGAGAACACAGTAGGCAGCTTCATTCAAGAATGGTAAGAAAGCAGATCTATCAGCAACATCTTTGCTTAGAGACCTGGGCACACACTCTGGGGGGAAGCAGGTGGCTGTTACAAAGGCAACCCCCAGGGCCTGCCAGGGGGCCCGCTCAGGCCAGTGCAACACCTCTGCACACCTGCCTGGGCTCCCGGCAGCCCCCAGCTTCTGCCCAAGGGTTCTCCTTCAGGGGAACAGGCAGGGAAGCTGTGGAAGAGAAGAGTGAGCTGCTATCTCGGCGGGACCCCAGGGCTGCCCTCTGCAGCACTGTCTGATCAGTCTTTGGGGGCATGACTTAGTGAAAACCCCCAGGAGACTGAAGACCAGTTGGGAGGCCGCTGGGAGCCACGGAGTCTGCCACAGAAAGGCCGAGCCCCGGTGAGGGAAACGTTCCTAGCAGAAGCCTCTTTTGTATGGCTGTGTCGTGAACCAATGTTCGTAGACGACTGTATCTGAGGTTTTTAATGCGTCCTGGTATCTCAGCTCCAGGAGGAGCTCCAGGACCCGAGCCCCGGTTTCTACAGTGTGCTGTGGAAACCAGGTCTGACTTGCCTCTGTGTCCGGGAACCAGGAGGTTGGGAGGCAAGGGGACTTCCATAAATATGCTTCCTCGTCTTTCTCCTGTCTCAAGGCTGGTAAGCTTGGGCTCCAAAAATCATTATTAAACATTTTTGACTTGAAAACAGCCGGATTCCAGAAGACACAGGGGGCTGCTCTGACGCAGCGGTTGCATCAGCCGCCTGGAGCGGCAGGGCCTGCAGAAGGCCCAGCCTCTGCTTTGGGCTTCTCCTTTTCCTCTCAGCTGACCTCTCCGAGGTTTACAATAGAGGATAAAGCTGGAGCCGGGAAGCCCGCGAGCTGGCTTGGTCCCTGGTTTCCTTTACTCTCCCTGCCCTCCCTCCTCTTCAGACCTAGCACAGAATTAGCTGAGCTGCTAGGCCTGCTCCATTTCTCCTGCCTTAGAACCCGAATTTGCAATTCTCCAGCGAGGCCCTTGCGCCTGGTGTCTCCCACTCTCGTCTTGCTCAGTTCAGGTTCCGCTCAAGTGCCCCCAAGCCCATCTGCCCACCCTCAGGGCCTCTCGCCAAACCCCAAGTCCTCCCCTCATTTACTGCCTCTTTAGAGCCTCCCTGTTCTTACCAGCGTGCCTGGACGTCAGCCCACACTGGCTGAAAGCTGGACTGCACGCGCCTGCTGGGCCCTGATCTCTCCCAGGAACAGTTTTTTACATTTTGCATCACTTTCATCCCCAGAATGGTACCTGATACGCAGCAGGAGCCTGTTGTGATGAATGCGTGTTGGGAGCAGCACAGGCTGGTTCTCCATCCACTCGGGCAGACGGATAAGGGAGCGTCCCGGAGCCCTCAGTGGCTTTTTCAGGTTTTAATGCTCTTTCTATGCCAATTGCTGTGGGGCATGCCCACAGGCTGGCAGGGCAGGGGGCTGGAGGGCCAGGAGGCTGGCGACAACGAAGCCCCCTGGCCCCCAGCGAATCTTCACTCTTTTCTCTTTGGGCTTCCCCTCGCAGCCATTCCGCCATGGCCGCGCTGACGCTGCCCTTATAGCCTCTGCCTCCAGGCTCAGGTGTGCCCACTCACGCATGCACGCACCACACACTCCAGGTGTCCGCCATCGGGCATGTGTGCCCCGAGCTCACCTCCCCAGCGCCTCCTGCGCTCAAGGCCGCAGGTGATAGCCACAGAGGGCGTAAAAGCCTCACCAATTCACTTACCCTACAGAATACGAATGTTACTGTGTTAAGAGAGAGAAACAACAGGTCCAAAATGGAGTTGTTCATGCCAGGCCCCGCCAACAGTCCATACCTCGCCCACTGCTGTTTCAGCCTCTCTCCAAAATGAAAAATTTAGACTAACTGAGCTGGAGTTTCCCCACCAACCAGTGCTATGAGGCCGCCTGCTGGATAAGGCCCCTGGGCACCCCTAATGGAAGGAGGCTGGGCCTGAAATGGTCTTTCTTTTGCTCTTGACTTGCCCCACCCTATTTTTGCCTGTAAAAACCTTCCATTTTGTATGATTTTGCAGTGCTGGTGGGATGCTACCGATTCATGGATAGTTTAAGGAATCAACTAGATAGTTGCACTGAACTCAGCTGGGCTCTTGCCACTCAGCTGGGCTCTTGCCGTTCAGCTGGGTACAGCTCTAACAAGACAGCGTGGCTTCTGGGGTGAAGGCCTGTGTTTTGGCTTATAGACCCTCAGCGCAGAGCTGGGCCCACACACTTCCTGTTGGAACATGAACAGACTCCAGAAACCCCGAACAGAGACGCGGTGCGGAGGCTACTCTGGTTTTTATTCTAGATCTTTTGTACTGAAAATACATGGGTATCTGGTTGGAACCCCCAGGGCACTCTTGTCCTCTCCTCAGAGCCTGCCCTGGTTATTTGTTTTGTTTTGTTTGACAATCCTAGTAATCACATCCTCACGGCAGAGAGCTTTCTCATTCTCTTTAAAAAAATGTGCTTCCTTCAGAGTACAAAGTGGGAAGTTGCTGAGTCACTGTTGCCATTTTTACTTGAACTTTTCCTGTTTATACCAAAGTAATACATGCTGATTGTAGAAAACTAGAAAAACGTGTGTGTGTGCGCAGAAAAGACTCCAAATCACCTAGACCTTCAGGGGGTAGGAATGATGGTCGAATCCACTTTGTAAACATCGTGATAGTTGGGCTGTTTCCTTGTGTCACTGGGAATATTTCCTAAACAATTGTTTTAAGGACAGCCAGTAGCTGTTTCATAGTTTTATTTATTATGTTTTATGACATTATTTTACAATACTATAAGCAATGCTACCGTGATTGTGAATCAATTTCTCCTTCCACAGTTAAAGAGAAAGCTGATCTCATCCTCAGCCCGGCCCATTGAACAGTCTCACCTTCTACACTTTGATAACAACAACGACATGTTGTTATTGTTATTCTTTAAGAAGGAGTAATGTTTGCCATCTTCCAAGCATCTGTGGGACTGTTAGGGGGAAAGGATGTCCTGAGATAATCCCATGTAGGCTTTGTGGACCCCATCCCCACTCCAGACTAAAGCCATCAAGACATTGGGAAAGACAAATCCCATCACCACCAAGGGGAAGGTGGCTGGGACCTGAGGGTGGAGTTGGGCAGCCAGGTTGGGTAT